ATATTCACTAACATCCAGTCAGTTTTGAGGTTTAGCTTAATATGTATTTACCCCTTGTCAACTAAAAGACGATCTACAATTTTAACATTGGCTCCATTTATATTAACTGCATTTTCATTTATCCCTTTCGACTTTCATTTTAGGGCTCCGCCCCCATGCCCTAAGTTTAATTTATTATGCAGATCATTAAGCTTACCAGTAATTTAACTTCAAATTAAGTTATAGCCTACTAACAATAAAAAAGTATTAAAAACATTTCCCAAATTTTTTTAAGCCGTAATATGATACGGTTGCGAAACGGCCGATTTCGGCACACTGCCAACAAGAGAGGTGAAAGGGTTAAATAAAGTCTTTAACTTAATTCTTTCACACATGTAACTCAATTATGAGTTTTTAGCCTTTGTGGTAAGTGATGTTTAGCTATGATAAAACTATAAAATAAATAAATATAAAATTTCTAAATTTAAAGTTTATGGACTACTCATTGGTTCAAGAGGGACGATTCCTAAAGAAGTCCAGCAATTTTGGAAGAAATTTAATTTGGAAAATCAAGTTCTATATCCAATATCATAGACTAACCAACACAAGTAGACTTCTCATCCCATTGTAAATTTTGAAGCACGTTTTTCCTGTCTAGTTCATGTACGTGACACATGGGCGCTAGCGTCGACGAACTTTGTTTCTATTATTTTAGGGTTAATTTTTTGATTTGTGCTTTACTGTTTGGTTATATAACTAGGGGACAAGTTATTGTTTATGATTAGATCGTATTATTTGGTTAAACGAGGTTTTAAATGGCTGTAATAACGGGAAACAAATTGTAACCAAAACACGACCTCTACATAAACCGTACAGAACTAACAATAAAATTGTCTTCAGCTGTTCCATAAGGATGAGAAATCTACTAAGGTATAGGTCGGCCGCTTAGAAAACGACCTCCTCCAGCATTGGTTTAGCATTAGCGGGCAGGTCGTTTTCTAAGCGGCCGACCTATAGTATGTTTTATCTATGCTAATATCTTTGACAGATATACAATTTTCTATTAACATTATAAGAAACCACCTTTATAACAATAATCATAACTAGGTTTGAACCAACTTGTAAAATTGTTATATATCATATTATTCTTTGTTGTACAGCAGACTACAATGTGTAGTAAGATGTCAATTTTAAAAATAAATTTTAATTCATACAACACCTTTTGTACTAAAGAAAATTGTGGTTGATTTGTCCTCATGCAACAAACTATCAATGCATTATTGCAATAGTCTTTTCCATTTCTGTGATTGCCATTTCGTTAGATTGAGCTGTAAGAGAAAATATCACTCGGAGAGCAAAAGTAAAATTTAACAAGAAATACCGAATTGCCTTTTCATCGACTAATTAATCAATTCCTATATTTAATGTTTATTGATTGATGTTTATTTATGTATGGATACTATAAAACGACCTGCGCGCTAATGCTAAACCAATGCTGGAGGAGGTCGCTTTCTAAGCGGCCAAACTATAGAATGAAACTTAAGCAACTATACTAACATACACTAAATTAAGTTAGGTATTGTTCTTTTTTTTGCTTGTGTCTACGAGAGTGCATTTTTGTAATGAAGTAAAGTAATTATGAAAGTACTTTTATTTTAATAACTCTTATAAGGTATAATCGAATGATAAAAAAAATAAACTCTTATACATTATAATGCATAGTGTTGAAATTATTTATCCCACAAAAACTGTTCCAGCCTATTTTGTTGGTGGAAACAAAAACTAAACAGTTTTACATATTTTAGCGAATTTCCCTATAGGGAAGTAGCTATTACCGTAGGTGGCACGGTAAGACCTAGACCCGGGACCGATTTACTTTTTCATTTTGATGTCCCCAGAGGCCAAAAACACCATTCGTTCAAATTTTTATATATGTATATATATATATAGACATATATATATATATATATATATACGTCCGTGAACGCGATAACTTGAGTAATTTTTGTCCGATTTTGATGAAATTTGGTTTAAAGGTGTAAAGCGGGATAAACTTGAATGAGTTCGCGAACCAGCACGATTGGACCATGGGAACGGGGCTTTACGGGGGGTTTTATGGGGTAAAAATTGGTTTTTCTCACTTTTGACCCTCAAAACACAAAATTTCCCGATTTCTCTTTAGACCTTTTTAAAGAGCTTAAAAAAACAAATAATTTAGTATATAAAAGTATTTTTCTTCAATTACTAGTAACGGAGAAAATTAAAAAAATTGTAAATTTAAAATTCCCATGTTATTCTTATGGAGAATATTGTCAAATGTTGTAGTTTGCTTGTTTATGGATATATTTTGATCAAACTTGGCAAATTTATTTATTTTGTACTAAGCTATCAATATTTTACTCAAAAACACACTTTATTAGTTTCCTTGTAGCAGCAAACCTAGGTACTCGTTAAACCTAATGTTATTAAAATATATTTAACTGAATATCAATTCAGACAAGGAAATTCGCTTAGTCGGCAGGTTTGCTGCGGCGGGGGTATTTAGATTTAGTTTTGTAACAACGGACAAACATTAGATTAGGTATGACATTTACAAGTAAATGGAAACATTAAGCAAACAGGACCTTGGTTCAGGGAAAAGAGGGAAGTGAGCAACGAAGGGTTGGGGAGGTTAATGGAAGCTGATGAGAGACTGGAGTCTTCTCAGTTGGCCATTATTGTACAAACAAGAACTGTCAGCTTGTAATTTGGCCAGACCTGATTCAAATTAAATCCCTTTCCTCAGGTCTCAATATTGGTGTTTTCTCCTCAGTTTTTTTACAATTGTTATTCCTAGGACGCTAGGCACGAGCCTGGAATTGTTTTTCACATTACTTCAGGCTAGACCTAGAGGTTACGGCATTATCACTTAGATAAAATCCATTAGTGATTTGACGGGATTCGAAACCGGGACCCCAGGAACTGGAGTCATGGGCCCTAACCACTAGACCAGCTCGCTCCCCGAGTTTTTTTTCCATTGGAACATTCATTTTATGGCTTTAAAAGGACATGTCCCTTAGTCCTTTGGCTGCTTCTCTGTTCTTAATATACAGGGTGGCTGAAAAGTAACTTGCACCCCCTCCTTTTCAACCATTTGAGATATTTGAAATCGGTTTGCGGCAACCTTCTAAGATATGAGGGGCTACAATAATTATTGTCAATTTTGAAAATTTTGCTCTTAGGGGTAGCGGTAGGGGGTAGCTCAAAATTTTCAAATAACAAGTATAGTCGAGTTTGGTATCATTTTACAGGTCGTGACGAAACATAAACATTGACATAAAGAAAATTTACGTTATGGCCCTACTAAATATGGGTTTCCCTTATTCATTTAGCATTTGCTTCTGGTCTCAGTATTGGTTGTTTTCTTCTCGGTTCTTTGCCTTTAGAAGATATATTTTACAACACACAAATAGATTTTCTCGCAGTCCTTGGGCACTTGTCTCTATAAAGGTTGTTTCTCCAGAAATTTCAGAATCTCTAAATTAAAAAACTCATTTTTTAATGTGTGAGATTTTTCTCTTCGTCCTTTTGCTTTTGACTCCAGTCTCAATGTTATAATTTTCTAATTTAATAATAATTTTTAATAATTTAATAATAATTTTTTAATAATTTAATAATAATTTTTTATTGTTGTTATAATTGTTATAATTTTTTATAATGTTATAATTTTCTCCTCAGTTTCTTGTTGACATAAGCACATTTAACTCAGCTTAGTCTTTCATTTATTTATGGTATTTAAGTGGTTATAAGCAGCCACTGTAAGAAGAGCCACATCTGTATAATTAATACGCCAACAAGAAATTTGTCCTTTGAACTCCTCTGCCATTTCTTATCCGATTTTGACCATTAATGTCTCATTGGAAAGAGCGTATTGCATAGATTTGCAAACTGACCTTACATTTTTGAAAAGTCTCTACCCCAGTGGCTTTTAAAATTCCCATGTTATCCTTATGAAGAATATATCTGATAACATTATGATCAAGTGTATAATTTAATTGCTGTATATATTTAAGTTGCATTCTTAAGGAAAGGCATGCTACAATCATTAAATTACATAATTACTATTTGTATTTGGAGTTGTGTACATATTTCAATGGAAGAAAGTGAGCCAAAGTGAGAAATTGGTCAATTTGACATATTTCACCGATTAAGAAAAAGAATTGACACAGTACTGTATTTCTTGAGTAATCCTTGATAGAACCGATATGCAAACTATGGGAACAAAGAAAAGTCATAAAACGCCACCAAGTAGAAGAAATATTATTATATATGGGAATATATTATATTATATAACATGGAAATTTTAAATTACACTATTTTTGAAGTTTCTCCGTGACCGTAAGGCATACAACAGCGCTTCAATATACTAAATTATTTCTTTTTTTAAACTCTACAAAAGGGTTTAAAAAGAAATTGCAAATTTTTTTGTCTTTAGGGTAAAAAATGGGAATACCCCATTTTTACCCCATAAAACCCCCCATAAACCCCCGTTCCCATGGTCTGATTATGCTGGATCGCGAACTCATTCGAATAAACGTAGGTTTACACGTTTGTACGAAATTTCATCAAAATCGGATCTTTTTTGCCCGAGTTATCGCGTTAACGGACATACACACATTTTTATATGAATTTGAACGGATGGTGTTTTTGGTCTCTAGGGACCTCAAAACAAAAAATTAAAGCGGTCCCGGGTCCAGGTCTTACCATGAGTACTACGGTAAAAGCTTATTCCCTATATGGGAAATTCGTTAAAACTCTGTATTACATCAATAATTTAAAAGAATATTAAGTAATATTAAAGTATGAATATGTGAAATAAGGCCTACTTTTATTACAATTAATCTAACAAACTTTGCCTAAACCTAACCTAGCCTAGGTGTAACCATAGCCTATTATTAATGGTTACAAATATCTCAAAATAAATAAGTCTAGCACTTGGCCTTCTATAAAATTGTAACCTTACAGTTCTTTTTTTGTTTCAGGAGAACCAGGTGAATTTAAAGTTCTCTGACTTGGTAAGCTTTGACACTGTACTACCTTTAATGTAAATGTGTCAAGACTGTACAATTTAAATCGAAAATGGCATAAAATGACACAATCTCTTTGTCTACCTAATTGCAAAACTTTTTAAAAGAGCTTTAATTAAAAGCCTTTATCAGCTTTAATTGCGGTTTTTATTTTAATCAAAACAACAAAACAAAAAATGTATAATAAATTTATTTTTAAAAGCTATTGTTTAGAATTGTAGAATGATGAGAGTTTTTGCAGTGATGAGAGATAAATATTGTTCCAGTAACCAACAGAGCCTGAAAAAGCAAATGATTTGTTAGCTGTCTGATGACAAAGATTCTTGGTTTGTTTTGTGGATTATTTGTTAACATTTTTTATGCGAATGTTTGAATACAAATCATAGAATAATTTAGCTTGCAAACAGATAATTTAAATAATATGTTTACTTATTATATGTGATATTTTAAGTTGTTAAATAATTTTAAAATGTTCAACCATTACTGTAGTTTATTTCCTCTATTTCTTCATCTTACTGATTAGATTGTTTACAGAGTGTTTTTAAACTTGTAAAAAAACACTTATTTATTTATGTAAAACTGCAATAGATAAAAATATGCAGTTTGCGGGAATTGTCTATTGACCTAGAGGCCCCAACTGTTGTGAATTCAACGTTAAGTTCCCATTCGCCCCCTTTCTCCCCCTACCCTTAACTTAAAATTTTTAAATTGCAAGTAAATCCCTTGTTCATATCAAATGAATGGGCATGAAAACAAAAAGTTTTTTGTAAAAGAATTTTTGAAATCGGATTATAAATTTATGAGATATTTCACGGTCTGTAAATGTTACTGTTAGCTGTGGTTTGTGGTTAATTCAAGAAAAACAATTAATTGGTAGGTAAAAACTTTAATAATGAATAGTACAGTTAAAACATGTACCGTACACAATAGAAAGTATTAACAACATGATGTATTGAAATGAAATGAAATTTGTTTATTGTCTTGTAAATTTATACAAATTATTGACAATATCATAAAACTGCTAAAATTAGCATAGTCAGTTAATGAATACAATATAGCTAACTACACACAAGGAGACATATTACACTACATATTTCAATATTACAACCAAATAATCTTATTGAAAAATTCCAGGCATTTGGAATAATGGAAGTTATTAAACCACATAACCAACTAAATCCAACAGTAATTTGGTAAATTTGCTAGCTCTACTTAAAAATTAATAAAAGTCATTCAAAAAAATCTTTTAGGGAATAAAAAGGGGTTCATAAGCCATTTGTAGAATTTAGATTTAAAAGTATTTTCAGGATATTTTGTATCAGCTTGTTGTATATTTTTATTTTAAAATAGTTGTTTAGCCTCCGGATTACTGTAATATACTTAAAATGGTTTACAATACCTGCATATAGTAATCCGTTGTTGCTGATTTAGACAACTAGTTTCGGTTCTTGTTTTGAACCATCCTCAGGCCTCAAGGTGTCAGGTAATCACTTCATTCGAAGGTCGTTAACAAAGTTCAATAAATAAAACATATACAAAACACGATAACACGGAACGGACTTACATTACAAAAAACACGAAGGGACATTGACAATCGAATCACGATCGGTTACACCCCGTTCCCATGGTCCGATTCATGCTGGTTCGCGAACTCATTCAAGTTTATCCCGCCTTACACCTTCAAACCAATTTTTTTCAAAATCAGACAAAAATTAATCAAGTTATTGTCCGAACGATCATATATATATATATTCAATTGTTTTGTCTATTACGATTATGTTAGTGTACATTATACTATCGATATGTTGAACTATTTACAATAAGGCAACAATTAACTACAATCAATCAAACAATCAATACATACTTTCGATACATGCAATTGTTTCCAATCAAAATTAACAACTGTGTTGACAACAGCCGATTATAGATCTTCCCTATGGGTTTAAAACGCAGAGAGTAGAAATGCTTCTTTAGACCCGCGACGCATGAATTAAAAACAGCTGTTTTTGCTGCAGTTTGATGAAAATAAAGTTTTAGAATAGCGAATGACCAAAATTTTTTGGGGTTACAGTTTTATTGGTATCTATTTCGGAAGGAATAGCAAGACCAATCATTCCTAAAATGTAATATAGTACGTACTTTAAGCACTTTTGTACAATATTCTTTTAACAGCTTTTTTATTAATTTAACTGCTTTTTAATTAAACAGAACAATTTGTAGGCCTAATCATTGTTAAATGGAAACTGCTTTGTTTTGAGGCCCAAACCTGACGAAAATGTCTTTTTTCTTAGTTTTGACTGTAAGCTGATTTTACCTTAAAACTGTTTGAGATAGAAAAGAACTTTATGAAGAGTTTTCTTACCAATTATTTTAAAAGATTACTCACTTTTGCAATAAAACAAATAATTATCAACACAAAATTACAATGCTTGTTAGATGCCTATTTAACAGTTTTTTTTCTATTCATTTAATTACTGTATTAAGTTTGTCTCTATCATTGGGTCTTCTTCCAGTATGGGCAGGCTTAACTTAATAAAATAATTATATATAGCCTTGGTGTACAAAAATATTTTATTCTTATATTACTAGTACTAACACTCATAATACCTATAATACTTATTATAACACTTATTAACTATTCTATGCTATTATACAGGGTGAATAAAAAGTCAAGACCCCCCCCCACTAATATTTTTCCAAGTAAATATACAGAGATATCCTTTTGGTGGTCGAGCAATCTTAGCAGGAAGATTCATTTTATCATTTTGAAATTTTTGAGTGTCCCCCCAAAAGGGGGGATTTGGGGGGCAACTCAAATATTTTAAATGTAAACCTCCTTCAAGTGACACCTCATTTTAAAGTGTTTACAAAAACTTAAAGAATGGTGAAAACTAGAGGTCGCTATCTCTTCTCTATCCAAAATGGTAGCCCGTCAAATGTTGTGGAAAATCAATGGTAAAATTGTTAATATTGGCTGCCATTTTGGATAGAGAAGAGATAGCGAGCTCTGGTTTTCACCATTCTTTAAGTTTTTGTAAACACTTCAAAATGAGGTGTCGCTTGAAGGGGGTTTACATTTAAAATTTTTGAGTGTCCCCCAAAAGGTGGGATTAGGGGGACAACTAAAAATGTTTCAATAGAAACCCCTATCAAGTGACACCTCATTTTGAAGTGTTTACAAAAACTTAAAGAATGGTGAAAACCAGAGCTCGCTATCTCTTCTCTATCCAAAATGGCAGCCAATATTAACAATTTTACCGTAGATTTTCCACAAAATTTGACGGGCTACCATTTTGGATAGAGAAGAGATAGCGACCTCTAGTTTTCACCATTCTTTAAGTTTTTGTAAACACTTAAAATGAGGTGTCACTTGAAGGGGGTTTACATTTAAAATATTTGAGTTGCCCCCCAAATCCCCCCTTTTGGGGGGACACTCAAAAATTTCAAAATGATAAAATGAAACTTCCTGCTAAGATTGCTCGACCACCAAAAGGATATCTCTGTATATTTACTTGGAAAAATATTAGAGGGGGGGGTCTTGACTTTTTATTCACCCTGTATATTACTTATTGTTTTGTTATTCATAATACTTATAAATTTACATTCAACACTTTAAACACAAAAGTTGTAGATAGTTTAAATCCGCACTAATGATATCCCATTAGACTTAAGATCCAAGGATTTGTTTAGCATATACAGTCCAAAATATAAAGCCTTAAAATTTAGTGTAAGGGGTCCCTGTATGGTGTGTATGTAGACAGGTTTAACAAAATTCTAAATGTAAGTGGGGTTTAGGAAGGGTTATTTCCGATGAAATTCGACTATGTATGTATTGACATAGTCAAATTTCATGTATGTACATAGTCGACTATGTATGTATTGACACAGTCGAATTTAATTGGAAATAGCCTTTCCTAAACCCCACTTACATTTAGAATTTTGTTAAACCCCTGTCTACATACACACCATACAGGGACCCCCTATACTAAATTTATTTTTGACATAAATCATCTGTCATTCAGTGGGGTTTGCCTTTCATGTATATTCAAGATATTGTGTGTGAGCGTGTCAATAGATTCTATATCATATTTTATAAACACTACCCGGACTCTTTCGAGATTATTTTGTATTGGATTCAAAATTTGAATTTCCATTAGATTTTGGTAATTACAGACCGAACAAACCAATGCTGGATTGAATACTTAAGTGTTGTTAACTGTGGTTTGGTGCGTCCCCGTCTTCTCCGCCCCAGAGCGCATCATAAGCTCAGAAGGGGGTTTTTTATTTCACCTCACTTTAGCACTTGGTGGAATAAAAAAATAAATAAATAATTAGGTGCTTGTATTTGAAGGATTGTTAGACAAGTTTTATCAGGGAGAAAAGAACGATACATAATTAATGGTTTTGATAAATTTTATTTGATTTTTTATTATTATTTATCTTCTTTAATTGGAGCTTGTTTAGGTTCCTTGACCCCAATACCTCTCTGTATCAAATTAGTACTACAGTACCATAGAGTTAAAGTTATATTTTAAGTGGGAATTTTTAAGTTGGATATTTTGATATTCAAACTTGGGAAATCTGTAATTACCCTTGAATTTATTTTTATTGCTGGCTGGACACCCTAACACAACCAATAGAGCACGTTTTCAAAACTTGACATTGTAACGCAGGTGTATGGAGTAGTACGATGACGTACCTGGGTGTTTTGCGGGGGAGCGGGCCTGGCGCCAAAATATTATCTTTAGCCCGGCGCTCTCTAGCATGAGAGGTCTCAGTTTCTAGTATGTGGGAAACAGCAGCTAGAACTGTTGTTATTGTATCTCTCTTGATCTAATTGTTTTCTTAGGCCGCTCACTTATTACTGAGGTAATAATTGTTTGTATTTGCATGTGCGTTTCAGTTCATACTTTATGTTTCCAGAATGCTCATTAATGTTTGTGCTTTATTTGGACCTAATCCTTCTTTTCAGAAATTATTTTGTGTTA